AATGATGATATATTTAGTTTACTTTTTACGGAATATTATTCGTGCAAAGCAATTAACGAAAAACAGGGTTTGCCCTAATTTGCACGACTGAACGTTTACGTAACGCGAGCCGTGGGTGTCCTTCGATGGATCGATACCGGGTCCCTTTGACACAGTTCCAAGGGATACGGTAAACCGGCCGTTCGCATTGATCATTAAAAGAGGGGGTAGAACGAATTTTGGCGAAACGATTTCATGGAAATTGGCCGATGTTTATCGCGAGGAAATTTCGATCCAGATCCCTCGGTCCTCAGGTAACCCGGGCACGATTGCACTTTTCGCCTCGGCGCATTCACGGAACGCGCGTCCCGCCAATTTCGGCGGCCATTACCCGCGGCGGCAATTCAGCCCCGATTATGCGAACCGGTATCGTGTCGCGTCGTTCGAACAAATTGGTGTAACGAGTGGTAATCGCGGCCGCATAATCGTTTATTCCGTCCGCGTTAAAATCGGGCTCCCTGTCGCGGCTAACGAGTGTTTTGGGTCTAATGGATGACGATTTAATCGGAAACGATACTACTAATGATTACGATGACCAATCGCCGCTGAAATTGACTGTTCGCAATGATCAAATTGCGAGTTTCATGAGCAAATTCAGTATACGGGAAATGTAAACACTGAACAAAAATATAAAGTATATTTATTACAAGCAATTTCAATTTAAGAAGTCGCTCGTTTATCGCTTAAAATCAACTTTATCTTGCATCTTCTTTGCATTTAAGACCTCAAATATTTTGAATTGGCAAGAAAGTAACTTCGATTCTCACTATAAGAACCGAAATTCAGAGGTCCCAGATGCACAAACGGGTATGTACGATACAGTGTCGATACATTTAAAAAAGTTCTCGCGAGTTGGAGTCGAATGAACGCTGTTCGTACATCGACGTGTTTTGCTTCGAACGATGTCAATCTCCGGTTCGAATCCACAGCGGAGAAAATCGTGTAACTGTTTGCGAGACTCATCCATTTTATTCTGGTTACGTACCTCGATGGTTTCCTCGAAAACAGGTTGTACCTCGCGCGTGTATCGAGCGGGTAGAACGCGAGGAGGCGTTTCAGATAAAGCGTAGATCTCGTCGACTCGCGATTTCAGTAGCCAAGCCATAAACCTGTCCTTATGTGAGGTCGTTGATAAGAGGCCGTCTGATAACATCGTTGATGGAGCACCTTCTGCCTTTTCTCCGGTGCATAAAATTCTTCAGCTAGGTTTATTTTAGTGATAAGAAGATCCTCTGCTGTGTTAGCAGACCTCTGACAATTTTTCTGCTTCTTATTAACGTCGATGAAACAATCAGTTTTACTGCTACAATTTTTTTATTATCGTTAATAGAAAACGTATGGGCTTCCAAAGAAGCACCATCCTACTTTTCGTGGAGAGCTAATTAGAACTTGATAAGCCGTAGATAACGCAATTTAGAGTGACAGCGTTTTGTAGCGTACGATTCGAATAATCTAATCGCGAATCTAATTCCCAGATTTCTTCCACACGAATCTAGGCCTCTGATCTATTGATTAACGACAACCTTCTTAGAATATGCTCTTGAGTCTTCCTTACGTCTGTATCTACTTGTTTATCACCTATCATTAAATATGGTGTAATACTCGCAGTTTAAATCATTCAGTTTTCAAATCTCGAAAAATTAGTCTTTCAAGGTAATGTCTTTTAAAGCTTTCGAGATTTCTTTTTATGAAGTTCATGATATCATTATTAGAAAATGTAAATCTTATTGGTAGTGATTATTATCAGTATCATCATTGTCTATAATAATTCGTCTTCATTTCTTTTTCTTTTCTTTTTGACTGGTTTTCATCTTTGGAAATCTACGGATTGTCTCGCATCGACTCTCGCCGACACACACCCTGCATTTACCTACATACATACGCATCTCTAGCTAGTCCAACCGGTGGTTATATCTAACGAATGACTACGTGTCAAAATCGAGTATTGACAACATGACACAATGACCAAATTTACCATCATTTTCCTATTCGTGATTGCTATGTGACGCACGGGCCACAATTTTTAGGTATACTTTACAAAGCTGATTCAGAATCCCTTGGGGCTAGTGTACACTAGCGATGCAAATGGGTTAATCGGCCGTCACCTAACCGCACGGTTTGTGACCGCTGGCCTTTATTAAACTACAAAGCCGCGTAGTTATTAATATTATTTTGTTGAAAATCGTGCCCTCTTGTCGCGGGGTCTTCCCGCGAGGTTAACGAGAAACGGACGTGCAAACCGGTGGATACAATTGGTCAATTCGTCCGCGGTCAATTAGAGAATTGCAGCGACGAAAATACCGGCTGGCTCTTAATTCGATTCAGCCAATTAACTCCGCCCGTCTGCTCCTCCATCAGCGGACATAGCTCTCCGTGTCAGCCGAGTTCCTCGTCCCTGACGAACTCCTAAAAACGAGCCGCCTGCCAATTCGATCGGTGGAAAACGTCGGTGAAAATTCTACACGTCGCGTACTCCTCTGGGCTCGAATTTATAGGCGCGTCGCGACGCGCAGTCATGACTCTCGCTGATGTATTTACAGCGGAGTTCGAAGTTCGTTCGTTCCACGGAAATCGGGTCAAAGTCATATCTCGCGACGAAAAAGTGTCTCGTGAATCACGCGCGCGTGATATATCTCAGTTTGCATAATCGAGCTTAGTTTCGGGGCCGTCGCGGAGAATGAAGCGGCAGCGTTTAGGAATAAAGCGGGGTTTGCGTCGACACTCGTATTATTGTCAGAAACCCACGAAGAAAAGTAATAAGTCGAACGCGAATTCTCTGCTGGGAATTGAATGAAGTCGAGTCGACGCTATGACAATTTGAAAACGCGATTCCCGGACGATGCCCGCCGGTTAGCAATGCCCGTTAAAATATTAACGAAGCTGCATTTGCAACTCCCGGGGCAGAACAAATGGATTTAATTTGCAACCAGTGCAGCTCCGAGTGCGCAAATTCTCCCTTGTTTCGTACCGTAACGAGATTGATCTCCGCAACGGGTAAGAGCGTTGTTAGGTAAGCTCGTCGATTCGTTGAATAACCGCGGATCGCCAGGAACGTTTCGGGATCGCGAGCGGCGGGAGTTACGATCGGTAAACAGTTTCGAAAGCTGTTTTACCGCGGTGATAACTTCCTATGTTTTCGCCGCTGGAGAATCAGACGATTGTTTGCTCTGTATAACTCGTCTACGGTCTATGAGATAGAGTTTTAATCGAAAATGAGATGAGAAGGCGAAGGCTCGCAAGATCGCGGTGTTTATCGTCGTTATCAATGAGAATCTTTATTGCCACTCGAGATACGGGGCGCACGAGCCTGTTCGACGAAAATTTATTTCGCCGACGCAACTCGAATCCGCGTTCCGCTTACACGTGCGCACAGCTATTCAAAACGATTCCCGGCTCAGTGTGTGATAAGCCAGTTTTCCCTGATTCAAACAATAGACTATCTGCACAATGAATCAAGGGACGCGGTAGCGCCCCGAAGGCAAGTTTGAGTCTGAAGATTGCAGCTTCTCGTCGGGTACCGCGTCCCTTATATACACGTAAATTCGTGTTCGATTTTTAGATATTTCTGCTCTTTCGATCTAGCGAAATCGACTTGTCGTGCGCGCGTGCATGCCAGATTAGGCGGGAATCGTTTTAAGTAGCTGTACACGACGGGATTTTCGCGTTTACAGACCGTCACGGTTACACCTGCGCGAGTGTCGACTTTCTTGGAGCGACTTTTGTGCTCACCAGACACGTTTCCCGGAGTCTTTATTCAGCGAACAGTGAATTTCACTTTGTTCCCTCGACGTCGAGGTTTCGTTATCTCGCGAATTTAAATAACGACTTGATTCGTCGACGCAGCAAGGAAAATCGAAAGAAAATACTTAGAAATGTCAGATGCCTGTTGACTCGGATTTGTATGTACCTGATAACGTTCGCTAAATATTCTAAATCAAAAAGTTGCTACTATTTGTCCCGAAAAAGATCGTTTCTTCGTTTCATTTACACGAGTTCCTCGATCATGTGTCGCTTGACAAGAAATCATTTGACTCATGCATATCCAATTACACAATGCTGTTTTAAAGTTATATGAACCCTCTGACTTAAGAAGACTCGTCCAACAATTCTATAATCTTCACTTCTCTGCAAATATAATTTCGCCTAAAAGTTTATCTCTTCAAATATTAAATATAGCTTCTTATCACATTTCTCAAACGTTTACCAGCGTTCTCACGGTTCATACAACGTTATATGAATGACCTGCAAGAATGAAACACAATCCTTCTGTCTTTATTAATAATCATGGTACAAACAATGCAATATGAAATTCACGACAGCCAGCAATTCGTTCTTTCTCGAAAGACATGAAGAAGAATTGAACCCCTTAACCTGTCTGTCGTGTATACACGTCAGACCAAATCTCTATTACAGTTTAACGTGTATACTCGTCGTGGAAAATATAAAATTACCATCTACTATAAAAACTTGAAATATTAATAAAATACAATAAGAATATTATTTGGTGGAATGTTTCTTTTATATTACAAATAGAACTGCTGAGTATTTTATACTGAGAGGGTGTTGGGAATCAGCCAAATAATATAAAATGGTTGATACATGTTTGGTCTCCGCATTAGAGATTGGTGGACTGATTTTAATTCCGCACACTGTGGTGGTTTTTTTAAACTAAATTCCACGCTTAACAAGTTAATTTTGTTAGCGACACGATCGCTGTTTTCGTATCCACGCAATTATTTCGGGCAAATGTGATCCGTATCAAAAAACGTGGTACGGAAGGGGCATGGGGGGTGGTGGAAACAGGCTGTTTGTAAATGGGAGGAGAACGTGGTCGTGCGTCTTCTCGGTGCGTGTTGTTTCTTCTTGTTGGGTACCTCGGCTACGGAGGTGGGGGATGCGCCCGAAGAGACAGTCTCGGCCGGAGAGTGCCTCGACGTGTATAAATACAAGCAGTCGGCTTCGTTCTCGCTTAGTCGCTACGATACTCGATTCTCGTGACGGTCTGTCGATACGAGAGTGTGCGTGCCACGATCATTCCCGATTATATTTATCGCGAAACCCGGCTGCGCTTACTACTTGTTACGCGTGGCGGAGTGCGAGCAGAACAGGTGCGAGAGCGCGCGGAACACGTAAAACCGGCGAGGAAACGGAGACAGAAACAACGAGGGAAAGTACTGCCGGTTTATATGTATGCAGTTTTTGCCGCCTCGCGCGACTTCGAAAGATCGTTCACGGTTCCGGTGAATAAGAACGCGTCGCGCGATTAATTCCGCGCACGTGGGTGTCGAGATAGAACGTTGAGACGGAACGAGTGCCACACCGGGAGAGAAGGAAACGAGCGTCCATTCGTCGGCAGAGTCGAGCCGTCAACCTGAAAGCATTCCCCTCGACTCCATTCCTCGGATCGATCTACCAAACACCGAGTGTTGTCGCGCGCGACACGAATTCGTCCCCAGTGACAACGCGTAGTAAGATCGTCGGTGAACAGAGTGTAAATAGCGACACGGTGAGACGAGACACACTGGTCTCGGTGCGGCGGTTCAAGGGCGAGGCAGCTCGCGTAAGGGTCGAAGAGTCGACGCGTAGCGAGCCGTGAAGAGGAGAGGACTGGAGAACGAGTTTCCAACGAGGGGCTTTGTACGCCAGAAATAAATAGAGATACAAAACGCGCGAAGTGGAAAGGTGGCAGAATAGTCGGAGCCGGGCTGGTTTTCTGCGTGCGATTCTCCTCTGGGTCAACGATCTGTCGGATCTCGCGTGCCTCGTGGACAGTGCCTGTCCGCTCTGTACGCGCAGCAACGGTAACGAACGAGCGGCGGCGGCGGCAGGTTGGCGGTCCGGTCGATCGCTGGTTTTCTACGTCCGCGGCGATAGCCGCACGTTTCACTAAGGAGTGAAAAGGCGGTCACTCGGTACGCCGTCGTGGCTGCTTTCACCCGGCGACGGAATAATGCCGATCGCGCCTTAACGGTACGCCTGCTGCTTATGCCTTCCGTGTTTCCCTTAACCGACGCCGGGAAAATGATCGCCGACCTCGGGTAATCGCGTTTCGTGCGCGCCTGCGACGAGTCCGGTTTTCTTTATCTACTAAAATTCTTTTCGGTCGTTCAAGCCAGTTGTGTGCCGCGAGTGCGCGCGTGTGTGTGCTTGTGTCCGTTCGGTAGTACAGTGGATTCGGCTACCCGGTGCAGCGCGTCTCGTTCCGAGCGACTCGACGTAGCATGGAAACCAAGATGTACATCAGCAACGAGCCGCAGAACAATGGCCACACAGCCACCAAATACGCGTCGACCAACTCGATCCCCTCGATGATGGACAAAGAATCGTCGTTCGCGAAACTGATCGGCGCCGGTGGAAATAGAAGAGAGTCGACCAGCATTTTGCGCGACAACAAAGGAAGGCGACACAGCGTATTGGAAGATCTGAAAGCGCGAAGGGACAGTCTGTTCCAGAAGGCGAGACGCGGTAGCGTCGTCGAGGAAAAGGAGAATGCAAAAGTGCAGAAGGATAAGAGACGAGCGAGTGAAGGTGGCAGGCGTTGCTCCGTTTTCTACGTGACTCCGGACCTCCTCGAAGAGAACCAGGAACTGTTGGAGAATGAGAGGATACAGGCGGACCTCGAGGGGAAGAAGGGCCGCAGGAAATCCTGGCATATACTCGCCAAGCCTCCGAAACTCGATCGCAAGAGGAGAAAAGGCGTCGCCGGTGTCCCGGAGGTCGGAAGCACCGATGGACTTTACCCGCAAACGAGACAAAAGAGGCCTTCCTGGTGGAACATATTCGTGCCTGACTCCGTAGCCAGGTATTTATCATTCGCATCATCGTTTACCTCGCGCACCGTACGCGTGTTCAGAGTGTAAAGTTTCTCGTGCGCGTTGATAACGCCGCTCTTCATTGCTCGCTCGCCGGTTTATCATTAACGCGTGACTGAGCCAACTGACAATTCAACAATAAATGTTCCTCGATTAGACATCGCTATTACTTCACGCCCTCTACTGGGTTAAAATTGTTCACGCGTGTACGCGCAAAACGGCGGGTTTGAAGCAGCCCTGTCCCGTTCGTAGAACTCTGCCAGATACTTCTCGCGTCGATAATTCCATACCGGACCGGTTCTCTTATCCTTCCCCGACACAATGGTTTTATTTCCACGACGTACGATGCCAGATCGAGCATTGAAAAAACAAGATGTAGACTTATTACTCGTTTTTAATTTTGTCTCCCTAAGGGAAACTAACACATGCCCGAGCTGGCTATTTCTATGTTACTAGCTGTACCAGGCGAATAAATTGTCTCACGAAATATGGATTTTCGTTCGTTTTATACTGTTCTCTTCTTAAGGATGTATTGGCTATACAGTCAATCCCAAAAGTTTATGTACCTTAGAAAAACACATTTCCTATAATTAAAAATAGTGCATTCTTCTTCTAATTTCGATATTTAATGAGTTACATATGATTATTTGGCATTTTATTGATGTTGACAAAATCCGACCATCCCAGCGTCGAAACAGCGAACTTTTGGAAAAAAATTTCGTTTTTTGTCAATAACTCCCGAACGGATGGACGTAGGGGGGCACGTTTAGGACCATTTTGTAGGGGACGACGAGATCTACAATTTCCATGTAAAAAATCTTCGCTAGCATCAATATTTAACGAGTTATTGGCGAAAAACGAAAAAACAGTTTTTTGCAAATTACTCGTAAACTATTAACCCTAGCGAGAAACTTTTATATGGAAATTATAGATTTCGTCGTGCTCTACAAGAAAGGTCGTATGCAATTTTCCCGTAGATCCTACGGTTTGGAAGTTATTAGCAAAAAACGAAAATTTGGAAGAAATTGAAGGGGTACCCC